ATTTAATGGCTCTTGGTACATTTGTCTTGCAAATATTTGGCAGACTCGTGTGTGTGTGTGATAAACGTGTGTGTATGTGCACGTGTAGGGAAAGTTGAATAGTCAGTGGACCAAAGAAACAAATGTTCACTAGTTGGGGACATCTTACCTTCACGTGACTACATCTGGAAGCAAGAGAAAAAAAAAAGAAAGAGAAGGAAATGTTTGCCTTTTTATAAACTTAAATAACTTAATAAACGTTTTTGGCAAAGCCAGGTGGGGTAACCACAAGTTAAAGGTGATAAACCAATGTGAAAATGGTAAAATTGTAAATGTTCCAGTGCCTGACTTGAGGTAGTCTCCCTTAGTAGTAAGTGCAATCTTGAATCGAATAAAAATGACCAAGAAGCTGCCACAATATAATCCACACTAGCAACAAAGATGGAGAAGTTACATGCAACATAGCTAGAAGATTGGAATCAAGAGTATCTAAAAGTCAGATGACCGTTGCAACAAAGTTTTGTATCTTGTACAAGATACTAAAATCCAGACTTATTTTTTTTATTATTTGGTTGAATTAGCTTAGACATTCCTACATCAAGGTGGGAAACTCATTAGGAAAGTATTTTGTGTCATAACATAACTGGTTAATGTAGATGGATGCTGGGTGACCAACACGTCTTGCTCCATGGCTAGGTGTCCAGAACAGTCGATCACTTGCAAGTTCTGGTTTCGCTCACCAGCAGTGTCCTGCAAAGTGCATTCTGAGTTCACATAAGATTGTAGACATAGAAGCGATGGCTCCATATAGCTGTGATTTAGTTGGATGTTGTCTTAAGTAGATGTTAAGGATAGCTCTCAGTATCCAAGTGTAGAGTCCAACTGTAGGATTTTAGTTAATGCCCAGGCAGTGGCACCATATGTTAACACCAATTCTACAGTGGCTTGATAGAATCTCCGCTCAAAGTTGTCTGGGAGATCAGATTTCCAGATTACATCTATTTTATTCAAGGCGGCACAGGTTTAACTACACGAATTTTCACATCCTTTATCTCACTCAGGAATCCAGATTTGATGTAGATATAAAATACACTTTAATGTTATCAGCAGATAGTTCAAGAATTTTGAACAGTTATTCTTTGCATAACACTCTGGGGAATCTTCAAGTGCTGATATGAAGGCAGCTAAAACTTTTTGAGGAAGAATTCTGTAGACTAATTGTAAAGGGAGGGTGTTTACTGCAACAAATATTTAACATCGATGCAACTTTTTTCCTTTTTTTTTTTTTTTTTTTTTTTTTGGAAAAACATCAAAAATGGAACTTCATCTATAAGGAATTGACAAATAAAGAGAGTTGCTTGGACTTCAATAGTAGTCTTTTTGTTTATGCAGCAGCAAGTGGGGAGAGAAGGAAAATAAAAAAGAAGTTGCCAAAAATATTCTCTGTGAAAAGTCTAGTAGATACATTTTCAACCTTTTTTTTTAACCCTTCACAGAAAAAGGTAAAATACTTGTCTTGAAAGGTAAAAGTGAGATAGGAAAATGAAAGATGCACTTGGTTGCTTGTATGTAAATTTATTCTGTGAGGGATGAATGATTCCACCCTCCAACCCCTTTCACACAGATGAAATGCCCACAAACCTCTCGCTGCTCTATTGCTATTTCCATGGAAAGTGTTCAGACAAACTATATTCCTTAGTTCCACCAATTCTAATTTTCATAGCTAAGACCTGCCATGTCACACACATTGCAGCAAAACGACCTCATTCCACTGGTGAGATGTAAGTTCCACTCATGCAGCTTCTTCCCATAAACTGCTGCTTTGTGGAACTGACTCCCAAGAGGATGCTTCCCTGATCACTGCAATCTTAACCTATTCTAGTCTAGGGTTAACCATTATCTTCTCTGTATATCCCCATGAACTGTGCTTCTTACTCTTTAACCCTCTACATTGAGTGGCCCTTAGGCCTTGTACAGGGTGAAAAAGACTGTATTTTCTTGTATATAAGTATGAGTATAATATGACACCATGTTTCTGAAGCTAAAAACGGAATAAATTATACCATTGAGTATAATACAATCCCGAGGTACATCCATCCCAATGTAAATTATTTTTGAAAAGTTGTACTATATTACCTACTAAAATCTCAACATTGTACATATATTTCACTAAAATATTTAAATTTTTACAATATTAAAGAATCGAAATGAACCAGATGTTTAGCTGTTGGGTGTTTCTTCTGATTTTGATTTCAAAATTTATTTTCAGGGAAAGGTGCTAACTAGACTTATCTAGTAATAGATTAATTAACACCTTAAAATATATCATACATTTCTGTTTGATGTGAGTTTATTATATTTCTATATATTAATAAACTATGTAAATAAAAAAAAAATATTGTGTTTCATTAAGAATGAAAAGAACAAACTTTTATCTCGTGAGCAAAATTGAGTGTACTTGCAGTCTTGATGTTTGAAATAAGAGGTTTTTAATCTTTTGAAAACATGTACTTGTGTATAATACATCCCCCTCCCCCCATCCTTTCCTTTTAATTTTCATTCAAAATTTCTCGTATTATACATCAGAAAATATGGTAGGTTCTTCAAGTGGTATTTGATGATAAGAGTAGAGTTTAAGCCATTCCAATGTTCAAGGAATTCCACTAGAGGATGCAATCATTGTAGATGATGATGTCGATGATTCTATTGTTTTATGTGAGCTTCTTTTATCTTTTTTTTTTTTTTTTTTTACCAAAAATTTAAACTTAAAAAAAAAAAATCCAAAGACCTGTACTAGGAATGATGAAAAGTTCCTGGACCTATCCAATTACCAAAATCAGTATTTTAATAATAATATATCGATTTCTGGAAGCAGGTTGGACTGGGAACTTTTCAGTACCCCCTCTCCCAATTGTATACATGTTTTTTTTTTTATATAAGTAAATTTCAAATTTCATCCTAGTCTTGTGTGTTCACTTTAATGCAAATGTTTCTAGGAATTGGTTATTTTCCTTGAAGTCATGGCAAGTCACAGATAATAAAAGGAAACTGTGGAGAGCCATAATCACCAGCTCAGTGAATTAGATAAGTTCATTGAACATTTATTGAATACTAGCTAGCTTCTGCAGAGGGCTCTTGATTGGGTCTTCATCACAATAGGTAGGGAGGAGTAGATGTGATAGGCAACAATAAACTACAGAACTTAAAATTGATTGCTGCATTAATATCTAAGCTTACCTTTTAAAAGTTTAACGATAATTCTTCTGCTACCACTTAAAGACAATTTGATGTATGTAGGTCCTTAATTTCCGTACAAACAATTATTATTCTTTCATGGGTGACTTTCGCTTGATTTCGCATTTAATTTTGTTTATTCCCAAATTTATTTCTAAGTTGTAAAAATTGTTATTGTACAAAAAAAAAAAATTGTTGCCAAAAATCACATACACAAATTGCCGAAAACAATCTCAGTAATGAAAACTTGGGAATCTAAAATTTCAGGATTGTGGGCCTGGACCCGGCTTGGAATGTTTTTAATTTGCTTACAGAGTTGGCCAGATTCCAAGATGGTATAATATATGGTATAATATAATTATGCAAAAATGAAAATAACACTGACATCTTATTTTAATAGATATATTTACCAAGACTACATTAAAAAAATATCTTGAAAGAGTAAAGAGTAAATTTATTTAATAAAATTGCCATTTTCTTCAACCATGGCTTCCAGATGACTTTGGGATCTCTTGCAACTCTTCTGAATGCTCTCCTTCATTATATTGCTGAATACTGCCATAATACTTGTCTTCAATTCATCTGGTTTTATATGGATATTTGTTGGTCTCTCGCTCAGTTGTGCCCCACCCGTAATAATTAAGGTGATTGCAGGAAGTTAAGTGGCTAGATGTAAGGGATGATGTGGTCGCTGAAATTGTCTGACAGCTATGACTGAGTTCTCCTGCTTGTGTGGAATGGTGCAGAGTCCTGTTGCCAAACATAGGCAACCATCTAGACCCAGGGCAGCACTACCTCCTCAAGACACTTGATGTAGGCCTCTGTGTTGAATCTGAGGTCTTGTGGGAAGATGAATGGAGGCATAACATTACTATCACTAGTGATCACTCCCAACACCTTTGTAATCACCATGAGACTCCTCTAACTCTTACTGAATCCTCTGCACTGTCCTCAGATTGACACCCAAACACTCTGAAATGTTTGTATTGGAGTTTTCAGTGTGAATACCAAGCAGTACAGCATGCTGTTTCCAAATTTCTGGTGGAGTGAATTGTGGATTGGTGCTCTTTTTCTCACAAATGATGCTCAACTGACCTTACTATACAGTGCAGTCAACAAAAACAAACAAAGTGCATACTCAAAATTAAAAATATTAAATGGTGACAATTTACACATCGCTCCCTGTATGTGTGTGTGTGTGTGTGTCTATGTATAAAACTGGACATTGATTTCAACACCCAGCAGCAACAGTCTTTTTCATGCTTAAATGCAATCTTCAGGCCATGTCTGTTGTGTATATTTATATATGCTCTATCCCTGATATTGAGCACTGTAATCCATAAATATTACTATATTACCTTAAAACTATATTTTATCACACACACACATATATATATATATATATATATATATATATATATATATATATATAATTTCCTTTTATTGATTTCTTGTCCTCTTCTTTTTTTTCTGCTTTAACCTATGTATTTCTTTCATTTATGGTAAATTTGTATATTTCTTTTGTTTCCTTTTATGGAAATTTTTCTTATGTCTTTCTAATTTTTTAAAAATATGAAAAGAAGTGATGTTTCATAACTAGCATTTTTTAAAAAAAAATCATTTATAACTATCTTTAATCACCACCTGATGAGATGTCTGAATTTGGCATTGAAACAAAATTGCATTTTTGTGGTGATAACTAAAATGTTCAAATGTAATAACTTATAATAAATAATATATACAGAGCTTTTTATAAACTACTAAGTAATATGTATCATTGTTTTCAGGCATGGCTGTAAAGCTAAATACATGCCAAGAAGCAGCAATATTTGAAGATGAGCGAGAAGGAAAGATAAGGGAGGTTGGCAATCAAGCTGTTTGGTCCTTGTCTTCATGTAAACCTGGTAAGAATTTTTCTTCGTTGGAATATTGACTTAAATAAAAGTTGTGTTGTTAGTATTTTACTAGCCAGTTTGTCTTAATGATAACAGATTTTACATGATTTGCAACATGGTAAAATCCTAAATTACACCATGCTGTCAATCAACACCAAGATGAATGTATATCAATCTTGTGTGCTCAGTACATTGTTTTATGGCAGTGAAGAAAGGACCCTGTACTCCTGCCAAGAACGCAGACTGAGTGCTTTCTATTATTTGTGCAGTCTAAGAAGGATGCTAAACATCACTTGGCATCTCGCACACACACACACACACACACACACACATATATATATATATATATATATATATATATATATATATATATATATATATATATATATATATATATATAACTTTTTATATCACCAGAATAATTTTAGGAAAATCTATCACAAGTGCTGCATTTAATTCTTTAGGACTTCATCAAACTAAAGTGCTGTTTGCATTAATGTGAATGAAAGAAGTGCTGAAATTTTAAATTTAATATATATATATAGTAAATACTACGAACAGCAGGACTTTTACTTCATCTGTTCTTTCTCTCATTTGGAGATATATATATATATATATATATATATATATATATATATATATATATATATATATATATGTGTGTGTGTGTGTAATTTTAGATTGTCCACAGTAAATTTGTATCCAGTTTCCTAGTACATTTGGTTAGACCAGTGTTTCTCAAACTTTTCAAGCAATGGCACACCTAGGAGCAAATGAAAATATCACCAGACACTTTGAAAATTTAAAAAAGTTGTATTAAAAAAATAAAAATACTTTTAAAAAATGAATATTAAAACAAAGTATTTAAAATAACATGATTGAAGAAAAGGGAAAAGAATTATTTGAAAAAATGCTTAATATATGTTTATTCAGATACTAATGGTGTAACATTACTAGTTCCACAAAAGATGCTTTTGCTGGTTAAGCCATGTCAAGCACATGGCTTGCAAATTTAATATTTAGGGTATGTGCAATATCAACCTTGCAGCTTGGGAGACCATGAAAAAGATCTTAGAAGCTGTAGATATGTTGTAAAACATGGCAATAAGATGATTAAAAGCAGAGAAGACCTGTAGGAAGAGAAGACAGTGCAGAGGGCAGCACCAGCCCCAATAGAACCAGGTGCAACTTTCACATGCAGAGCCTCCAGTTTTAATATTGGGCTTTTTTTCAATCCTTATTGGAGGCTGGTGCCATAATAAATAAAGCATGTTTATTCCAATCATTACTTTTTAAAACATTGCTGAGGAGTTAAAAAAAACAGTGTCACTTTGACACTATGTTTTATTGCAGGTACATTTGTCCATGTGTTTGCTAGTATGAATCCATCTCTTCCCACAGGAAAAATCATTGTTATTCTCAAGAAGCAATATTTACTTGCAACAAAAAGAATTCTTCTTAGAATCTAAAATGTTTTGGCTTTAAATAACCCACAAATGATTGATTTTTTTTTTATAGATTATCAATCAATCAATCAATCAATTATACTTAGAATTTTTTTCTGCTTACAAAATAATTTTGAGATTAGCAAATAGTTTAGTTTAGTGCAAAGTCCAATACAAAACTCCAAAACATACAGTTTAATAGTGTGGTGGTGTCTATTAAAATTTTGGAAGTATTTTGGTACATGTGTTCTAAAACACCCAAATCTTTCATGATTTCAATTTTTGTTGTTTGTGACTCAAAGGAAATAAATTCACTGTAAACAATCAAATAAAAAAAAAAAATAGGTGAGGTTTTCCTTGGGGGAGGGTGGAGGCAAAATTGGGTAAAAGGAAAGGTGACACGATAAGAGTCACAACTGTATATTTTAAGCAATTTCAAGAACTCTCCTAGCCATAACCATATGCATACCTGCATTTGTATTTTAGAAACGGCTATAAAATAGCCTATGAGTTTGGTACCTTACCTGGTACACTAGCATGAACTTATTTGCTTAAAGGGTTGCCAATCACACACTAGTTGCATGATTCATCCTCACATACATGAATATTGATGGCGTTTCACTAAAATAAGCTCCAAATATTTTAATACAGTTGTGCAAAATATTAAATCTTCCAACAAGTGGTGGTATTATGAAATTTCTTCAAAAGTACTATGCTATTCATACCGTCTTTGATTTTTGGCACCAGCCCCCCATGCATTTTTTAGTTTGGCATGATTTATACTCTAAATCTGACCTTTTTTTTCTCCATTAAAGTATATAATTTTTCTCTTATTGATGAAATGGAATTTGTAAATGTATCTGTGTCATGTGATATGGAGTTTGTTTTATATTTCTGTATAACTGAATCCCTTTTTCTTTTTTTTTCTCCCAGGATTTGGTGTAGAACAATTAAGAGATGAAGATTTTGATACATACTGGCAGTCAGATGGCCCACAACCCCATCTAGTTAATGTTCAGTTTCGAAGGAAAACAATCATTCAAGACATTTGTTTGTATACAAATTATAAAGCAGATGAAAGTTACACTCCAAATCGGTAGGTAGCTTGTATTTCTCTTTCATTGAAATAAGTTTTTATGAGAAATAAGAAATTAAAATTTTATAAATAATTAAATGCATTTTTATTTTCTTAACATTAGATTTTCTTATGTATGTCTGTGACTAAACAATTTAAAATACTGCTAATTTTTCAGACTGACATCATTGAAAATCTATTATTTACATTTCACATATATTTTTGAAAAAAGCATTATTTATTAGTATTAAATCAAACGGTTACTTTAGTTTGTTTTATTTTAATATTTTTGGTAATTTCTGTTATTGTAATGATTTAGTTCGAGAATTTCAACTTAAAAATATCTTAAAATAGAAATCCACATTTATTACTACAAAGTATTTAAAAATATATACTTAAAATACTGTTTGAGTATCATTTATCTGAAACTCCAAAATGCTGATAGGAGTTGACAATGGAAAATTTCAGAAAGCAATATGGTGACCCATAGTATGATTATTGCATTGCAAATGTTGACTTTTTTTTTTTTTTTTCCCAGTTTTCATTACATTTAACTGTAATTGGAATACATGTTTTGTTTTTATACTGAGAGGGTTCATTATCGATGACATCAGTGTGAGAAGAAAAATTTGGTAAGATATCAATCTCTACTAACAAAGTTGTGTTTTGATTAAGGTACAGTATATGTGAATTTCTTGGGACAAGAAGTGCTTTGGTTTACAGATTTATTTATTTTTTTTTTTTTTTCTTCAGATTTCTACAGATTTATAATTTGTATATAGCGTCTATAAAATGGGGCAGCTTTGGAATGGCACCCAAGCATAAACACGACATTTCATAACACAGCTTATACATATACCCAGAAGATTTATTATATAAATAACATATACCCTGAAAGTATAGTATTTACATTAGTCGGACTATTGTCCCCATCTTTGTTGCCATATTTGTCACAATGTTTCGGGCCGTTTATGCGCTCCGCCTTCTTCAGGTGGTTGGAATTTCGAACTGAACCCTTTATTTCGATCACTGGGGTAGACTGTTCTAGTTCCACGTGCCATGTTTGATGGATGTCAGTTATCAGTTATCTCCTGCTAATTTTCCCTCTGAAAGTTCTCCACTGCCTTAACCAGGAATTGAACTCACCTTCTTTGGGTCTGTCACTGGATCTAACCAACGCCTTTATCCACTGTGCCATGTGTCCTTGAGGCGACAAAGATGAGGACAATAGTCCGACTAATGTAAATACTATACATAATACCTCGTCTCAGAAATATAGACAGACCCTGAAAGTAGTTTTATATAAAATTTAATAAATCTTTTGTACATACAGATGATGCCATTCATGTAATATTTACATGGATTATTAACTGGTGAAATTAAGATTTCATGTAAAAATGTTTTGTACTTTCAGTACATGTACAAAAAACATGATCAATACTTACAAAAAATATATAAATGCAGGACATTTTGAATAATATCTTTACTAAGCACAAAACACTTAGTAAATAATCCATGAATGAAGGTGTTGCTATGACGATTACTAACAAAAAACTGATACCAATGTAGGTTATATGGCTGGGCTGGGGAATCCCCACCCAGGATAGATGAGGGTCATTTACAACAGCTGCTAGGAACCTTCCCAGTGCTTTCTGAAATTTTCCATTTGTGGCAAGTCATGTCAGCATGTGAAAAACATTCGGATTTTGGAGGTTTTTGGATTCTGGAATTTCGAATAAAAGATACTCAACCTGTATAAGATGTCACTACCTTTTGTTTCATTTTCTTTTGCTCTCTTCTTTTAACAAAGAAGATTAAAACTGTTTAGGTTAAATTTTCATGTGATGTTTTGCAAATTTTATCCAATTCACTATGTAGCGGAATTAGTTACACCATTTGTATATTATAATGAATAGCAAAAAGATTTCCTAAAATATTCTAACTTTTGACTATAAGCCTTTTCTCAGATACCCTAAGAATAAACCAAATTTATTTCCAATACATGATTATAGATAAGGATGGGCATTGTCGTATAATGGATATCGGCTCCATATGAGAAATTGGAGAGCCGAGTTCAAATTCCAGTTGGGTCTGTTACGTTCACTTATGTGCAAATACCTTTGGGAAAGATATGGGTCCTGTTGCCTTGATTGGCAACCAGTCTACTGCAGAAAGAAACAGCAATGTACTATGGGAAGATCTTCTGCCTAGTCAATCACAAACTGATAGACGCGATTACCCAATGTGTATCACGTATGGCACTTAACTGACTGATTAAAGATAAGGCTTTTGAACAGGAGTAGCAGTTTATCCCGTGTTTCCTATTTAGGATTGGGGTTCTGGTTCCTTCTATACTTCTAATATCTTCACTTAAATGCTGAAATTTTTATGATTTATTTATTTTTTCCCTCACAATAGGAGTAGACAGGTTCACCTATTGTCCAGTTCACACTCCTCCCCAGTCTTTTGAAATGGAGTAAAAATTTATCTCTTGTTTCCTGTTTAGGATTGGGTTTCCAGTTGCTTCTAAATTCTACTTCAACTCTATACCTCTAATGTCTCTGCCTAAACTCTGAAATTTATATTATTATTGTTTCTGTTTCCTTCTAAAGTTTTTTACCTTTTTCTTTCACTTTCAGTAGCCCCTTGCGGCTTAGTGACATTATTGCCTTGTTTGGAGCAAATTGATTAAAAATATGCTGTAAAGTAACATTGTAATGTTTTTCTTATATTACAAGATTCTTCTTCTTTTACCTTGGGGTTGATAAGCTGTAGAAAAAAATGAACCAACCAAGAATCCTTTTTACATTGCAAACAGGTAGTCTTATTTCAAAGGCATTAGAAGTGATGAAATCATGTACTCTTGGCTGAAGGCTATAATGATTAATATAAAACTTACAAAAATTAAATGCTAATAGAACCATGTTCCCTTTGTGGCCCAGTTCAAAATGAGTTCTTTTAATGGATTTATTACAAATTTATGAAATTCTAATATTTGGATGGGTGGGGTTGAGTGGATTTTATAAACCACTGAATATAATAATTCATTTATAAAATAATTATGACTTTCAAAATCCTTTTACCAAGTTTTGAAAACTGAACTACCTTTTTTCTTAATTGTTTTATTTATTGTGGGGAGATAGACATTATTTTAAAAGGCTCATGCTCCTTTTTGTCACTCTAAATTCAATATCAATTAAAAACTTAAAAAAAAACACTAATTTTTCTTCAGCTATTTTAAAATTTGAATTTTTAACTGTTCCCTCCTCATCCAGACACAAATCCTAATACTGGATGTTCAAGCACCAGATGAAAGGCAGATTTTCAATCCTGTTGTGATCATCCTGACTCCATCCTCTTCTTCTCCCTCCAGCTAGGGGTAAATAGCAGGACAGACTGGGTTCTATAGCCTTGGATGGCAACTGATCTAGAATTCAAACTCTGAATTCAAAACCTGCAGAGGGTCATTTGGAGGCCCTGTGGCATGTAGTGCACCAAGTCTCTGTATTCGGCCCTTCAAAAAGTGTAGATGGTCCTGCACGAAACCTTCACCACTATAATCAAATCTCATGTGCTGTTGTCGGGCAGTCGGTTTCCTAGAACTGATCTGCTTGACCCTCATATGTATATATCATATATATATTCCAACTTTTGAACTTTCTCTTGTCTGTATTTGTTGAGGTGAGGTGAGGTAGACAGTGTTTTAGAAAACTTGAAAAAGAATTATCTTCCCAGTTTGATGTGGCTGATTATCAGTTTAATCTATTTAAAATGGAAAAAATGGTATTTTCAATATAGACTATAGTTCATCCAAGTTTTTTCAAGTCTTTTAAATGTCTATCTCCCCACAATAAATAGAAACAAGAGCCACTCAAGGTAGAGGGTTACTGAATTAGGTTGTTGTAGGGGCATAAAAAGAGGAGGTGAGTAGCACATATTATGAGGATATGTACGATAGGTAATGGTTGACCCCAAACTTGAAGAGATTAAAATCATAGTGGTAGGGAAGCATCCTTTCAAGAGTCTGTTCCACAATGTAACAGTTCTGGGAAAGAAGCTATCTGAATTAGATTTCCTCCTTACCAAATTAATATGAAGAGGATGAAGATGAGTTGACTATGTGTATGTAGCATGGTGGGTCCTGGCTGTGAATGTCTGGATTGATGGAACTAAGAAATGTAGCTTGTCTGAATATCTGCTATGGAAATAGTGATAAGGTAGCAAGAGGCTAGTAATGTTTTGTTTATAGGAAAAGGGATTTCATGGTGTAAAATAATTCATCATCCACAAGGCCGCATAAATGCTGTTGAACACTGTCATGGCTGGAAAGTGAGGATAAGTCAACTTGAGCCCAGATATGGCAGCAATACTCCATTTTGGTCTGATCTGATTTGTATAAAGATAGAGCATGGTAGAAGGAGTCAGGTAGTTACTGGTATGGTATAATGAATTGACCATTTATTTAAAATGTTAAGTTTAATGAGTGCTAAATATAGGTCGATCTATAAAATGAAAGCTGTACTCATGGATAAACAAAGTTTCTCTCTCTTTCTCCTGTCTCCCCCCTCTCTTTCTCCTGTCTCCCCCCTCTCTTTCTCCTCCTGCTAAGAGCCTATCCAAAGCTTAAATATTAGAAAACTATTAGAATTCTCACTTAATGTCCTTGAGAAAGGCATGAATTTATCTCTTCTCCCACCAGGTATGAGTTAAATAATAGGGTAGACTTGTGTAGTAGCCAGTTTAAAAGAATAATTACTCAAAATACCATATTTTGGAGAAACCACTCTACTATCTTTTCCAAGAAGTCATGTCTATTCACTGTCAATAAAGGAAGCTGTGGAGAACTGTGATCGTATACACCCTGAAAAGATAGCATTTTTGATTTTTTTTATAAATGTACCAAAAGATCAAACTGACTAGATACCAAAACTTTTGGTAGTTCAAATTTGGAAAACTTAGTTTTTTGTGGTGAAGTTCTTGTTGGTATTCTTGAAATTAGGAATGCTGGTTTTTTTTTCTTTTTTTTTTTTTCTTCATTAATTAATCTTATTGATTTATTTGATTCAAATTGATTTGTTTTTGCTTCAGGATTTCCATTCGTGCTGGCAACAATTTTCATGACTTGGTGGAACTGGAACAGGTAGAATTGATAGAACCTGTTGGGTGGGTAAAGATTCCATTGAAAGATACAAATGACAAACACATACGGACATTCATGATCCAAATTGCTGTCTTGTCCAATCACCAAAATGGACGTGATACTCACATACGACGAATCAAAGTCAGGTCTCCAGTTATGGACACTTCCATACACCCTGCTCCCAAATTCACCAGTCCGGAAATGATTCAATATGCATACTTCAAATAAGTTGAGCCCCTCTCTCTGTTTTTGTTTTCAGTCTAAACACGAAAAAAGACTTTTTATGAATTATCTGTATTGTAGTGTAAGGCTTCTATCATTTTATTCTTTGAAACTCTAAACTAAACATTTTTTGTTCTTCTAATCCTGCTCAGTATTTTATTTCTACACTCTTCACACTTTATTGAACTTATTGAATATTTCTCTTGCATAAAGAAAAAAAATAACTCGTTATTCCCACATCAGCAATAATCAAATTTACATTTTCCTTTTAACTCCTGGAGTTTATATCTCTTCTCTTGTCCTTTGCCTAAATTTTTATTTGGGACATTATTATCACTAGTGATCGTTTCTTTCGTGTTTTTTCAAAGCCACAACTTCTTTGCTCCTGCCCCTGAACGTTAATACCCATTCTGAAAAATGGGGCATACAAAAGTATTACAAAATAAATCACATTTTCATTCTTTTTCAAAAAAAGATCCCCCCCCACTTTTTTAAGTCGTGCCATAGCACGACTTAAGGTGGGGGTCTTTTTTTGCTGGGGTCAAGGGGATAATTTTTTTTAGGTTAGAATTCATTAAATTGTACCCTTAAAGTTCATGATCCTACTCCTATCCTTTTTGAAACAAACAGGTTACATGGAAATATTCTATTTAATGGTAAACTAACTTTACCTGATTAAACTCTGTTTTTAGAGATTGAAATCTTGGCAAATTCCAACCAAATTTTCTCTCTTGCAGTTGAACACCATCTCTTAACCTTTTAGCACTCTGCATTATGAATATTACTTCCCTTTTCACTGCATTCTTTTTCAAGTTCTCTCAATTGCAATATCCTTATTGTTAATTTCACTCAAACATGTTTTCTGTTGCCATAGTAGGATATGACAACACAACTATGAATTTTCAAACACACTATTGTTCAGTAATCAGAATCACCTTTAGTGGCAGGATAAACTTTTTGTACAGCAAATAGTATAGAAAGTGGTAATGGTTAAGTGCAGGATAAAATTTTAAATCTAAGTTTTGTAAATCAGCCATCATTTTCATTATTGAAAAATGGGCTGGTAGGAAGGAAACTACTTAAATTGATTGGACTGCTTGTAAAAGAATGAGGAATGGAATTTGTGGGGGTGGATAATTATTGTAGATTGCCTTTTATTAGATCTTCTTCTATTCATGGCACATTTGTTAGGTTTGAAAAATACTTTCTTTTTTTTTTTTTATGCCATTTTAGAAATGATAGAAATAAAATTAAAAATTTTTAGGGGTGTACTGTTTCAAATCAAACACTGCCTTCTTAAAGAGTTATCTGCACTTAGTTTTTATTTGCCACTATCAAGTTTGAAACTGCTTACATCGTTGATAACTGTGATGATGTCCTCTTCCCAATTAGTAATATTACATAGTTATTAATGATGTCAGCACAGTTTTAAATTTGATATTTACAAATAAAAACTAAGTGCAAATAACTGTTTAAGAAGTTAGGGGATTGATTTGACACTGTATTTATATTATGAACAAGGCCCTCTTTCTAAAATGATAAATTATTTAATGTTGTGGGTAAAGGATGGTCTTAAAAATATTGATTTACAAAAATAATTCCCTCCTCTCCAAAAGGTGTCCCCCTTTTTTTTTTTTATCAGCAGACAAGTCAATTTAGTAGTACCATAGGAAGGATGAAAAGATGACCTGAATTTATTTTTATTACTTTTTTTTTTTTTATAAACTATGAAAACACATTTCTATTCATCACAAAAGTAGCTGTAGATGCCGACCAGAGCACATTTTACCAAATGAAACTGAATCCTTCAAGCTATTCCAGGTACAGTTGGTATCTCCTTAATGTAGCAACCTTGGACTCTAGCTAATTGCTGGAAAACAAATTGATCCCTATTTACCTGACCATCTTGTCTTGTTACCTCATTTCATTACATTCACTTATGTGTCAATACCCTTGGGAAAGGTATGAACCCATCTCATACCCCTAGCTATGGGTTAAATAGTAGGATGTGCATCTGGAAAAATCATTGTTATTCTCAAAAAACTTAATGTAATATTCACTCATAAAAAAAAAAAAAAAAAATTATTCTTAGAATCCAAAATCTGTCTTGGCTTCAAATAACCCACAAAGTGTTGATAAACCACAAAAAAAAAAAAAAAAAAATCAATCAACTCATCCCTATACATCTTGCTATGTTATCTAAAGTAGAAAAATACTGTTTTTTTTTTTGTTTTTTGTTTTTTTTTTAATATAGTCTAATTTTATGCTGAAATATAATCTCAAGTTATTGAATTTAGATTTGTCCAATTCTGTTTGGAATTGAATTTCTTTTCTTCTTACACATTCAGTTTAAAAAGTCAATTTATAAAAGCATCAAAGGGCTCTGGTGGCAAACTCCCCACACTACCTCCCAAAATGTAATGAAAACTTGTCTGGCCACATTGCAGAGGTCGAGAGAGGTGCAAATAACTGATCAAAGACATGCTAACTCACTGTATCTAATGTGCTTCTAGAAGGTGGGAACTAGTAAGCTGACATTTTAAAATGCCTTTCACCATATTTCCTTTTTTAGCAATGCTTAAGTTTCTATAGATTGGCGTTTCATATTAAGAACTTCATTAGTTCCAGCCTTTCAAACAAAAGAAACTTTATCATGCCACTCCAAGCAAGGAAATAAAGCCATTAGGTTTCTGAGTGTGTAGGTATCTGAGAAAAAAAATTATTATGGCGAGAATACAATAAAAGGACAGGAATTAAAGAAACGGAAGATGACGATTGGCATAGTATCTAAATTTTTGAAGAGCAAATTTGACTGGAAAGTGAGATATATGAGAAACTGTTAGTATAGAACTTATGGTTAAATCTAGCAATTTCAACTTTAAAATGATGAGACCTAACTGCCAATCTAGTCTTCCTTATATACCCTGACCCCTCAGGATGTAGGTGATCATGGCTCTCCACAATTTCCTGTCCTTTGTAACTCTTAATAAATTTTGTTTCTTTGTTATTTCTCTTAAACATTGTTCTGCCAACCATTTACTCAAGCTCACTGAGAATGTTATACATTGTTTTCCTCTGTCTCCCGATCTTCCAAACCCTCTTTTCTCATTATGTGCCCTATAAATTTCAATTGTCTCTTCTCGATGTTAATTATACATTTCCTTTTGACCAATATAGTACTGGGCTTAAATTCATAAAGTCGAAATACCAAAGAAGGAAGCTTTCCAGAATAATTACTATGTAAATATTTATAGAAAAGTCACAGAGAAGCCGTGTTATGTCAATGGGAAAGTGATTGAAGCTGACATGCTAGGTCAGCACTGATAATATTGCAAGTTCTTTTTTTTTTTTTCTCTAAATGCATAGCAGAATCACCAGACTAGATGTTGCAACAATATTCAATACATGTGAACTAAAAAGATTACTTGTCCCTGTTTTAATCAGAAGCTGAAAAGGATTTTACCTCATATATTTGAATGGTATTATTATATTGTTCTTACAACTCCCTAAATTGTAGTGTTATTTCAGGTTTTAGCCTTATTCTTTCCAGAGTTAGCTCCCTTTTCTACATTACCAAATTCAACAGTAGCACTTTCAAGATTAGAGAGTCTAAACAAATGGATGGATTTTTTAATTTTTATATGCTAGATTATTTAGTACTAAATTTAGTATCTGAAGCCTTAGCTGTTTAGTAATTGCATATAAGAATATCAAACAGTCTTCCACTTAGAACAGTGGGTCCCAAATTTTTTTTCTGGGACGCATTTTTGGAATGATAAAAAGTACATTTAAAAATTAAAACAAAACAAAACAAAAAAAAAGAAACAGATGGTTAAAGTGAGATAACTGTGGATTCAAAGTCAGAATATTATTGATAATTCTCTCCTCCAATTTGTAGATCCTGGTTACTTCTTAATACTTGATATAATGCAAAAATATTCCAGTGATAAAATCGGTCAATAATTATTTATAAGTATTTATACTGGGGCTCATACATGCAATTACAAGAAATTCATAATATTTTACATTTTGAAATCATATTCATTTTTGGCATATGTATTTGTTTGAAATTGTTTTTAAATCTTTGTCTTTCAATAATTCTGCCTCACCTGTTATCCTCTTTTGCTGCACCCTTTGGGAACCACTGATTTAGATGAAGAGTTTAAAATTTGACTATTTTATTTTTCATCTATGTTGTTTGCTAGCTCATAGAATGATAAGCAACCTGAACATTGTGACAAAAAAAAAAAAAAGTTTTATAAGAGCGTGAAAGGTAAGAATAAAAAAAAAAAAAATCAAAAATCTTACAAAGAAAAAATATTCCTTCTTGCCAGTAACATGCTGTCATCAATATTTTTATATTAATAGCTGAAACATTGACTTTGTTATATATTTCAAATACCCGTTTGTTATGCTGGGAAACTTCTTCAATGATTTTTTTTTTTTATTCTTGGTGTCATTGTGGGTTTCAGTACTCTAAATCAAGACTCCCTATCTTGAGTGACCCAGGGCTTACAGCCATATCACATTAAAACATAGGTTCTCATCTGATCACCGAAGTTGAGCAACATCAAGCCTGGTCGGCACCTAGTGTTGAGTTGGCAAAATGGCCACAAATTACTTAAATTTGGTGGAAGTGAGCAGTTAAAATCTCTTTTGTTCAAAATTTATGCCTGATAAAATCAACATTTGTTTCTGGTTTTGTGATGTTTGCATTACTCAGAAGTTCAAAACAAAAAAAAAAATCCCCTCTGGTAACTTTATTTCTTTCTTTCAAATGCTGTTGAACCGGAAGGAGAAACACTGCAGGAGGAAGGACTGGGAAGCCTCAGCAGCTATACCAGACCAGATATTTAATTGCAGTTGCTGCAGCCAGGCTTGCCTGTCCCATATTGGCCTGGTCGACCATCAGTGTACCTGCAGTTGGACTGGCAGCCCACTTCATAAATCTTCATTTGTGAAGCCAAGCCAAGACTGGAACTAAAACTTAACTCTCTGATTTCCAATTCCAAGCCATTATCTATTACACTACCTGCACATCCACACTTACAGCATGTGCTATTCCCTGGCAGTCACCCATCTAGAGACTGACCAGGCTTGACATGGCTTAACTTTAGTTAACTGTTTATCTAATTCATAAAAATAATCAAAACAGGTTTATTATGAACTGCAGTGATGAAAACTTAAGTTCATTCTTATCATGTTCATGACCATCACAACTTAAACGATCAATCACCACTACATCATCATCATCATCATCATCATTATTGGCTATTATCATTCATATTCATAGGGCTTGAGTTGTGGTCGATTTGTGTATTTCTCCAGAGTATTGTCAGATTAGGCCACAAGTAGCCAATTGGGTGACATTTGAAAGCCCAATGCTAATAAATTTGGAAATGACTTTTCAATGTAGCTTTTACAAGTAGCCCCAAAAATTGCACATGAAATTAAAAATTTAGTAGACTTGGTCTTTCAAAAGTAGTTGATTCCGGTAACTTTGTTTTTCACTGATGCTTGCAGCCACTGTTTGAGCTCCTGTTAAAAAAAAAAATGGGCAAAGTTTAACCTTTGTATCTGCAAAAAAAATGTGTCAAGATTTTTTCCTTGACTCCACTATTAATGTATATTTTACCTTAGTAATGTTTATTGTTTTAAAACACTATTTTAATACCAATAAAAACATTACACACTGTTTAGTTGTTAGGTTCTTAACAACCATACCATGGCACACTAATATCACCGCATACACACATATATATAAGTAGTAATGGTACAGCATTAGTATTTGAATGAATGAATAAGTATTAAACTTTTTTTTTCCAAGTAATTTTCACTATTCTTCAATTATGTTATTTTAAATACTTTGTTTTAATATTCAATTTTTACAAAAGTATTTTTATTTTTATAAGTTAACAATTTAAAATTTTCTTTTATTTGAATAAATGAATATTAACCTTTTTTTTCTATAATTGTATTCAACATTCTTTAATTCAAAATTTCAAAAGCATTGAAGAAATCATGAAAATCATAAGGCACAGGTTTCACACTAAATAGGGTGCACAAATAGTTGAATAGAAATATTGAAATAAAGTAATTTTATACTTGTGTGTGGATTTTTTAAAAAATCTATGGTTTTATTTCATGACATTTAAATGTATACCTTTTAAAAATTTTGCTAAGTGTGCCTTGATATTTTCATTTACTCCTAGGTGTGCCATCGCTTAGAAAGGTTGAGAAACACTGTGTTAGATTGTGTATTTAGACTATTAATTTTATATATTATCTGTTGTCAGCCATGAAATGACTGATAAAGAAATCTTAAATAAAGAATGGACACTAAGCAACTTGACAAAAGTAATCGGCAAAGCTGATGAATTGTGCTCTTTCAAAACATCTACTAATTACCAATCAATATTTTTATAATCTGGTAAATATAAAGATAATCTTGTAAATAAAACTAACAACTGTATAGTATGTAACATTTTTGTTAAGATTCTAACCATAGCTTTTTAAAACAATAAATATTGCCGAAGGAGTCAAAAGAGTATACAGTAACAGTGGTGTCAAGGGAGTCCTTTTGACAGACTGTTTTTTTTTTTCTTTTGCAGGTGCATAGGTTAAACATTGCCAAAAACTGCTGATGTTTCTTTAGAACAGGCCCTTCCTTCTTAAAAAAAAAAAAAATGTAGGAAACACAATTTACCTGTTCCTTAATTCTGCTTTGTACCATATTAAGCTTACTACATTTTGTGAAAGGTTATAATTTTACTAGAAATACCTGTGAAAATTTCATGGTTTTCCTATTTTAATTTTCTGATTAAATCTTAATTCTTAAATTAATGATTGTGGTGAGTTCTACAACAATAAAATAACTAGAAATTCCCCTATCACATTAAATATTTGAACTTAACAACTTTAACAAAATATTGCAATAAGAATTGTAAATATGGATGCCAATCATTAGTAACAGGGTACAAATGAAAAGATTCGAAATTGACAGCTTTTTTATTTCAATGAAATAGACGTTAAACACAGCTATATTTCTTTCCTTCTCTCTTTCATTAAATTTTCTCATTGAAACCAAGTAGCATCTCTGTCTTTTCTGTATTTCACTATGATCAAAACGTAATAATAGTGTATTGTCAGGATATAACATATTTATGTGCTGAGGGAGGGGCAAGCAGTCTAATCTAATAAGATTCTGAAAACTATGATTAGTTCAATTTCACTTAGAGAAAAATCTTTTTCTTCAAAATGTTATCAGAAAGTTCCTACACTATACATATCTATATAATAAATGCAAAGGGACACAACTCTCTATCTTTCAATAACTCATGTTACAGAAATTTTGGATTCCCAAGTTTTCATTACTGCGATTGTTTTCAGTGATTAATTTTATTTTTTTTATAATGTAATTTTTTACAACACATTTTTTGGCATGATAACAATTTTATAACTTGGAAATAAATTGTGCAATGTCACTCATTATCTTCTGCCTTAATTCCTGTTGTTTTATTTTTCTCTTCTTAATCACATTGAAACACCACTTCCTGTATGATCACCAAAGTTAAGCAATGTCAAGCCTGGTCAGTTCCAAGATAGGTGAGTGCTTGGGAATACCAAGTGCTGTAAGCTTGGATGTGCAGATGGTGTAATAGATAACAGCTCGGAATTGTTAATCAGATAGCCGAGTTTCAATTCCTCTTGGGTTCATTATATTCACTTACACACAAATAATCTTGGAAAAGGTATGAATCCACTTTTTCTCTCCTCAGCTATGGGTTAATTACTAAGATTTTTTATTACTAAACCATTATTCCCCACCAAAAAATAATTTTTATAATCTAAAAATTTTTTCTGGCTTTAAATAACCTGCATAGTGTTGATAAGCCATAGGAGACAGATCAATCAATCAATGAAAAACTGATTAGCTACACAGGCATGTTTTTTAGATTTATTTACATTCTTTGGAATATAAATACATGGACACAAAAAGAGGGATCAGTTTATATATTGATTGTAATATTGAATTGATCCTCCACTTTATATCACTAAGCTATTGTCTCAGAAAATAAAATTTTTACAATCTAAAAAAATTTTTTCTGGCTTTAAATAACCTGCAAAGGGTTCATAAGCTGTAAAAAATGAATCAATCTCTCTTTTATAATGTTTCATTTTGTTTTTTTTTGTTTTTTTGCATATTCTTTCAAACTCAGTAAGTCTGCATCTTGGTGGTTCTATTGACTTACTTGGGTGAAATAAAACTTCTACAAGAAGTGATATTTTAAGCATTGTTAAAGTAAACATTGATAGAATATGAATGATCTCGGATGTGAGATTAATTTCTATCAGTTTCTTTAATTCTTCATGAAGTTAAAACTTCAGTATCTATCTATATTTCTGAGATGAGATTGTAAATAATATGGCGACAAAGATGAGGACAGTAGTCCGAATAATGTAAATAGTGTACATAATACCTCATCTTAGAAGTATAGACAGATACTGAAAGGCCGAAACGTTGTGATAACTATGGCAACAAAGATGAGGACAATAGTCCGAATAATGTAAATAGTGAAGTTAAAACTTGCTTAGTTTCTGCTCCTCTTTAGCAATCACTTACTGCATTTGTTAGTTTTTTTTTATCCATCATAATGAGTTTATCATTAATTTATTTGTGCGTCATATCCCTTCAGGACCTTGACAATCATGGCTCTCCACAACTTGTCCCTTGTAGTTGTAAGCAGTGTTTGATTCTTTACTATTGCTCCATCTTTTCACACAAACCAATTAGATAAGTTATTGTTTCCCTCTACTCCCGCCATCCTGGAATATGCCTAGTCAGTATTAAATTTTCCAAGTGTTGGTTACAATCCACTTGGAATGACTGCTAAAATCATCCCCCTCCACAAATTTATACACAATTCCTACAGATGCATGCTGGGGTTTCTTCCTAGCCAATAAAAAATGGACCGCTTCTCGATCTCACCTACCATATTTTTGTTTTTCTTGTCTTCAAGACAGGATGCTATAACTACTTGACTGTATCCCTTTTGCATGTGAACACCATTCTTACATTGGGAACTTTTTGCCTTATTACTGATGCTTCGCTCACTTTTTACTTATTTATATATATATATTGTTTGCTTAGTATTATTTTCCTCTGTTCTTTTTCTTATTGGATTATGGCCACATTGTATTGAAATACAAGTTCCTGTACAATCACTGAAGAGAAACAAAGTTGAGCTTGGTCAGTATCTAGATGGGTGACTGCTTAGGAATACCAGGTGCTGTAAACTTGGATGGGCAGGTGGTTTAATGGATAATGGTTCGGAATTGTTAATCAGAGAGCCAAGTACTAATTCCTGTTTGTTATATTCACTTATACACAAATACCATTGGCAAAAGTTTGAATCCACCTCTTGTCCCCCCAGCTATGGGTTAATTAGTAAGACTTGTATCACTAAAAAATATCTTCAAAAAAAAAATTCTTACAATTTAAAAATATTTTCCGGCTTTTGATAAGCTGTAAAAAAACAAATCGACCAACAAATCTTTTCTTATTGTTTATTGGAAACTTTGTCAGTTTCATTCGTTACACATTTTTGCCCATTGCACTTACTCATGATCAATTACTCCACTTGAAGCCATTGTTCCTCATCATTTGTCTTAGAAATTTCAACTGTCTTTTTCAGATTTTGTATATGAGTGTCTTTTTGGTAACCATTTTCTTTAGAAGCTCCTCATGCACTCTCAGCATCGGTCTGTAGAACCCCAATATCTGTTTTCTCGATTCTTTTCTTCAAGGGAATTGTCCATAATCCACTGATATAGACATGACTTAGCAGTTCAATGAGTCTTCATTAAGTTCTTTGCTGATTAAAAAAAATTTAAAATGATCTTATAATTTTTATTTGGCACCATATTGCTTTTGATTAGAATTGAATGGTGCCATAAAATCTCCTTTTCTTCAGGAGAGAAAAAATGGAACCAGTATGCTGCAAACAGTGAAGTCACTAAAAACAAGACCCATTTGACTAACTTTCTTTCATCAATTTTTGTATAATTTGATATAATTTGAATTTTTAATTTGAATAACAAATAAGTCATATGGGTACTTTATAAACTTTATCTCACCTACCACACAGATGAGGTTCTGATTCTCTATAGTAGTAACAGTCTGAAAGATTAGTTTGCTAATCCCAACTTTATAGCAATGTGTCATATCAAGGTGAGATCACTAGTCACAGATCATTTCACACCAAGCAAGGGGTTACTGAGAGTGAAATAGAATGAGAATACTTTAACAAGGAGAAAAGACAATAATAGAAGGCGGTTTATGAAGATAGAAGATGTCAATTGAGCACTAATTTGTTACACAGCTACATCTTTTTGTAACAAACTAAAATTTTGCTACAATTTTGTAACATTAATTTGTTAGACTGCTACAGTTTTGTAACATCCATTAGACAGCTACAATTGTGTAATTCTAATTTGATACACAAATAGAAATTTTTAATGTTGATTTGTCACACAGCTTAAATTTTGTAACATCCATTTGTTACACAGCTACAAATTTGTAATGCTGATTTGTTGGAGATATGCAAATTTGTAACGCTGATCTGTTACACAGCTACGAAATCACCTTTTAATTTTCTTCCTTTTTAAGATACTAAAAAAATCTGACTAGTTTTATATTCAGCTTAGCACCACGTTTCTAAAATCTTATTGAGTTTTCTAAATTTTCTCAGCATTTCTGATTTCGTGATCTTTAACGTTCTGTGACACATTGCCCCAGCATTAGTACCATGAGCTTTTCAAAAAGCCCATTTCAAATATTACAGATAATATATCATTTAGTTCTTAATTTTTTCTTGTCTATCTTCTTGAGTGTTCTTTCTAGCTTTTATATGATAAATACAAATAAAAAAGGTTTTATAAAGAAAGATCAAATTAAAAAGACTTAAAATGAATTTTATTTTCAGTATGATCTTTTAAAACAATTTATAATCAGTGTGACTCCTTTTCAACTGGGTTTTTTTTTTTTTTCACATTACAAACAATGAACAAGATGGTTATGTGGTGTTTCCACACATTTCTGTCACAAATATTATTGACAATTTACAGCTGTTGTATTGCAGCTCAGACCAGACACTAGGTTCATTGACACGGTGCAGTTTCTCGTAATCAAACACTTGTGGCCAAAAAATTACCCTTCGGCCAGATAACAAAACAATTTCTAGCAGTAAACCAAATTCTATTCTTAGGTAGTACTTTACTACTATAAGCGAGCAAAGGCAGGTTGAGGTCTAAGTAAGGAGGGGATGTGTGCAATTCAGTGACCGTGGTCTGACTTTATGCTTGGCCCACTTCATACCTTCTGTTTTCCTTTGCACAGGATGGTCAGCTTTATAGACAACGGTTTTCTTTGTCCTGTCATCTTTATCCAAAAAACAATCTTTCTTCTTTCACTTTCTCTCAGTCTTGCTCTTGTACTTTGAAGTTGACTCCAATTACTAATAGCCATTGGTAGAAAGTAAATTTTCCATATCATGTCATTAAATTTAACTCATGTTGCTACACAGTCATTTACTTGTAATCCACACAAATATTATCACTAAAACCAGAAACTTCTTGTCGTTACTTAACAGTGGTATTCAGATAGCTACTTGACTCATCATGAAAATTTGACTGGAAAATCATTTTGTGGGCTGTTCAAACATCCCATGGTACTAACAGAAGATTAATTAAAGCCAGATTTTATTACTAATTTTTACTCTCATTGTTTTGAAGATTAAAATTTTTAATATAAAAAAATCACTGAAAATATAGTAGTTTTTGAAAATTCTAAAACTCAAGATTTTAGTGAGGTGTTTGATTTACAATCAACGCTATATAATAATTATCATTGTGTATTTATTTATATCTTTAATAATACAAATACGAATTAAATATTTATCATTATTTAGACAGAATTAGTTACCAAGCATCTCTACCTCACATCTTGCAATAACAACTGAATAGTGAGTTCGATCCTCACTGGGTACCCCACACTTTTGGACTTGTGCTACATCTAAGTTAGTCTTAGAAAATCACCCCACACACACACATGGGGGCACTTTGGCATGGTGTAATGGTTAGCAAACTTGTCTTGCTAGACTAATTACAACTGAATAGTGAATTTGATCCTCACTAGGTGGCTTATACTTTTCGTCTTGTGCTACATCTAATCAATGTTTTGGGTTGTTCTTTTTTTTTTTTTTTTTTGACAACCATACATTCTGTCTTCAAGTAAAACTTTTCTAAACAGGAACCAAAGTTACAATTTTTTTTTTCTGGTCACTAGAAAAATTAAGACTGAAAATAATACTGGATGTATTTACATTTGTAGTAGAAACACTAGTCACCAAGGGGCTATGTTTTGGCATTATTGGTCCCCATAAAAAAATTATTTTGGTGTTATACTTGTGTTTATTGCTTGGAAGAAAAAAAATCTACACTTACCATAAAAAGCAATAACTTGAAATCTTTTGTGTCTCCCTTCCCAGGTATCCTAATTAAAGATAATCCAAGAGTCCATGACAGGGATGATTTTCAAATATGGTCACCTCATGTGTCTGAGACTCCCATTAGAGT